ATAAATTTATTTCTAAAAAATCACCTCTGATTTTAAAAGTTAGTCTGTATATCAGTGCTTCTGGATTAAATGTATGATAATCATTCTTTGTGGTCCAACATGACTGCTATGCTCTTCTTTATAACTCATTTATATGTCTAATAATCCTCATAAAACATGTAACATATCTCACTCTGCGTATTGAGTCCTTTTTGATGGGATGATTAAGATTATTTATGTTTTCTGTGGATGAAAGTTTGTATTAACCCCAACTCATAGCCCTTTGTCAATATTCATTCTTTATGCTTCAAGGAATCATGGATAAGGAGTATCGATTTGAAACTGTGTCCTTCAATAACAAGGCCTCATGCCATTGTATTGTAAGTTGAGAAACTTTAGAACCTTTTTTTTTACTTGCCAGTTTTTGTAATTGATATTTATTGCGTTGTTTGATAAGCAATCGGAAAACAATTTCTAGGTGATGAGGCCCCTATTTGTAACATCAATATTTCTCAATAATCTGATAATATTTACAAGATATTGAGGGTGTTTTAAATCAGTTTACAGCTATAACAACCAGAGTTCTGATAGGTGTCAACAGGGATATATAGAAAGATATTCAAGCTATCAGTTGTGAGTTTCAAATACTGCACTTTTATTGTCTGGGGTATCAAACAAAGTCATGAACAATTCACATAAATTCTATGTCTAGGTTACCCTTCCGAAGTATAAATATAATCCACTTCTTTCTGCAAACTGACAAGAAAGCTGCCATCAAAGTTCTAACTCTGGAAAAAGATAGATTCTTGCTTTTTTTTGTTACAATTAAGGAATCTCTAAACACTCATTTTTATGCCCCACCATGAATATGGCCGGGGCATATAGTGTTTGTCATGTCCGTCTTCCATCCTTCAGTCTGTCTTTCCGTCACACTTTGCATTTAGCTCTGTTCAAAGCTCATTTTTAAAGAAACTATCCAAGATATTTTTATCAAACTTCATATGCTGATAGATATTGATGAGAGCAACATTTTTTGACCTTGACCTCACTTTTCTTAAATTAGTGGTTAGCTCAGTTTTAAAGATACTATTCAAGGTAGTGTAATCAAACTTCATATGTTGATACATACTGATGTAAGCTATTCAACTGCATCAACATTTTTTTTACCTTGACCTTTCATTTGACCTTGACCTCACTTTTCTTACATTAGTGTTTAGCTCATTTTTAAAGATACCATTCAAGATAGTGAAATCAAACTTCATAAGTTGATACATACTGATGTAAGCTATTCAACTGCATCAACATTTTTTGACCTTGACCATTCCTTTGACCTCGACTTCACTTTTCTTAAATTAGTGTTTAGCTCAGTTTTAATGAAATCATTCAAGATATTTTTATCAAACTTCATATAATGATACATACTGATAAGAGCTTTTCAACTGCATCAACATTTTTTGACCTTGACCATACCTTTGACCTTGACCTCACTTTTCTTAAATTGGTGTCAAACTTCATATGCTGATACAAACTGATGTAAGCTATTCAACTGCATCAATATTTTGACCTTGATCTTTCCTTTGACCTTGACCTCACCTTTCTTAATTTGTGTTTAACTCAGTTTTAAAGAAAACATTCATATTTTTATCAAACTTCATATGCTAATACATACTGATGTAACCTTTTCAGCTGCATCAACTTTTTTTGACCTTGACCTTTCTTTTGACTTTAACTTTATTTATTCTAAATTAGCTCAGTTTTAAATATACCATTCAAAATATTTTTATCAAACCTTAATATGCTGATACGTATTTGTGAGAAGTATTCAACTGCATCAAAAACATTGGACCTTGAACTTTCCTGTGACCTTGACCTCACTTTTCTTAGATTTGCATTTTGCTTAATTTAAAAGAAACAATTTAAGATATATTTATGTAAGTTTACGCACTTATGCATAATTTGGCGAGAATTTATGATCTATATCCAACTTTTTAGATTTCAATATCAATTTTAAAGAAACTATTCAAGATATTCTCATCAAATTTCATACACTAATACAAATTTTCATGTTGCATTACTAATATACCCTCGGCAGAGCATTCATATCCTATGGTCATATTTCTAGTTTCTTTAGACAATGAAGTATTTGGTGAACAGAAATCACTGTTTACAAACCATGCAAATAATGGTTTCAATTACCATAGTTTATCTTGGTCTAATATAATGTTAGGAATATTTTAATCTATTTCAAATTGTGTCATTTACTGTAAATTTCTATTTATTCAATTTTATATCAAGGGCAAAAAAATACCATGGAATTAGAACTCTTCAGTGATCAGTGTTTATAGAGCTTCTTTAAGGTCAGAAGACATATTCCTCAAAAATATATAATTTTTCCCAAGAATTTGATATTGAAGTTTTTCTTTAAGAAACTCTCTTACAAAAAATTGGGGTAATTAACCAGGCATTTGTGTAAAATTCAGGAGGAGGGTATTTCCTATATAATTCTACAGGAAATTACTTCAGTTGGTCATATCACAATTTTTGGTTCATATATTTTTTTATAGAAATTTTGACTAGAAATCAGAAGATATTAATAACTATAAAAGATTTTGGTATATTAAGAAGAGATGCAAAATCAGATTTTTGAAGAACGTGTCATCAGACCTTAATTAAATTATGAAGGAGCTAGAGTAAACTTTTGGTGTTAGAAACCTTAACCTTGCGTATAACTATTGAATGGTTGGTGCTTTCTGTCAAGACCTTTCTTTGGGTACAAACATATTTTTTTTTACCTTGGAGTTTGACCTACTTCTGAAAAACTTCAATCTTGGCCATAACTTTTGATTGGTTGGTGCAAGGGCTTTCATTTATCACTTGTGTATTTCTTGTGACAAGACTCTTCTTTGGGTACCAACATTTTTGAACTCTTGACCTTGAAGTTTGACCTACATTTGAAAAACTATAACTTCTCTAGCTCTAGAGTCGCGGAGTAAGGAGCTGATCTTTATGTTGTGGGTTCAAATCCACTGCGGGATGAGACTGTATAAACCGAGGTCCCGTATCGCAGTAGGTGTTGGCACAAAAAAGATCTCTCACTGCTCAATGGCCTCAAGTGCCGAGTATAGGTATAAATTTGCAGCCCTCCATCGTCAAGTGGTGGTGTCTCCTTATGAGTGAAAAATTCTCGATAGGGACATTAAACAAAAAACAAACAAAAAAAAACTTTCTTATAACTTTTGAATAGTTGGTGCTAGGGCTTTCATATTTCACATGTGTGACAAGACCCTTTTTTTGGATACTAACATTTTTGAACTCTTGACCTTTGAGTTTAACCTACATTTGAAAAACTTTAGCCTTGGCCATGAGCTGCCATACTGAAGCATCAGTGTTTCACAAAAACATATTGTTTTAAATAATAAAGTTAAAGCAGATTATTATAGGAAAGTTACAATTACTCAGGGAATCTACCTATGAAGGGGGGTGGGGGGATCCAAAAATTCTGGACTCCTCCCCTACTCATGATTCCCCATGGGTACAAGTACTGTACCTAGTCTTGAAAAGAAAACAGTGATGACTGGATAACAAATACACTATGTGCAACATTTTTGCTGCACATAGACACTACTGTATTTCAAAAGAAGCGAATCACCAGCTTTCATACTTACCATACTTTGACCTCTCGGAGGAGGATTAGGTGTTCATTATAGTAATTGTGTTAATTGGTGTATCATACAAGTACATATGCATTTGTTACTTATGCTGATGCTAGAGCACCTGTAAGTATAAACAGGTCAGATTCATTTCATTAGTAAGCATCTTGGTATTTGTTTTTCAGTGCTGAAGTTTATATAGTGCATAGTTTCACATACAGTTACATGTACAAATTAGCCAAGCAGTATATTTTTCCATATAGACAAAGTATTAAAAAACTAAAATATCCCTGAGGAGTATAGAGCTTACAGTAGTGCAAACAATGGTACAGAATCTTAAATAGGAAATATGACCATTTGATTATCAATTTAAAATATGTGATGTCATTTTTATCTAGAAACATAAGGCCAAATAAAATTAAATTTTAGATTCTTATCCCTGCTCACCCCTTTCAAAGTGTCCCTCCCCAGTGTTTAGTATAATGTTTTTACTTGATAAGGTTACCACCTGCTGGTATTAAAGGTTGCATGACACTGTTTTTAGCACAGGGAGACCATGCAGAGAATAGAGAAAAATCAGAAATGCAGTATATATGTAGAAAAAAATGTAGAAAATATAATGAGGAAAAAAAATTACTCTCTATAAAAAGACAATATAAAATTTGATACATCTACATACCATCAGTAAGTTTGAACAAAGTAAAAGTACAGTGAAACATATGTGAGGAAAATTACACTAATTTCGTTATGTCTTATTTTAAAAAATCGTCAGCAGACCTTAGGGAATAAAAGTGCTACAGGAAATGATAAATCTATTAGAACTGTTCAAAAGAGGCTAAATTCTACAGATATTTTTGATTCTCTGTTTTGCAAATTTTTAACAATATCTAATGTGTTTAGAACAAAAATTTGGGCGTTATAGGGACAGTGGAAATCTGTAACATTTTGTACTAACCACAAGCAGTGTTTGGTCAAACTAAAAGGTATATATTTGGAGAAAGGCCAGTGAGAAGCATGAAAAGAGGTGACTAATATACCACGTACAGCAACAGCATGTACAATGTACATTACACGTGATCATTACACAGCAGCAGTTTTGTGTGGCAGCAGCAGTTTTGATTATTCATAAAATTATTAATATTGTGAATATTTTTGTAGAAGAAAAATGTTCTTTTAAAGAATAAACAATAAAATATGTGTGTATTGGCATTAACAGTGTGAAAAATTTGTATCAGATGAATGTTATTTGGATACTTTCAAGTATAAAAAAAAAATACAATCCACCCACCCACCCGATTTTTAAGCAAATTAGGATAAGAATCAAAAGTTTAAATTTATTTGGCCTAATTCCAGTATATTTTTCTATTGTAGGAGTCAGTCTCTGGCACATTGCCAGAAACCGATGCCAATACACGACCACTAGACTCCAGCAATTTGGACGGCAAAACCATGGACAAAGTATACTACCAGTACCGAGAGAAACTCATGAACCAGGGACGATACATTGACCCTGAAACGGAACTGGAGGCTGACAGTTTCGGGATGGGTGTGGTTCGTAAAGAAATGGACCTTACCAATGATGAAAAGCAATACCTTCTGGCAGTAGAACGAGGAGATGTTCCGTCAACTCGTCAGTTTCTCAGTATGGGAGTCCAGACAGGACTCAATGTGAACTGTGTAGACCCTCTGGGGCGATCGGCACTACTCATTGCCATCGAGAATGAGAATATAGAAATGATTGAAGTTTTGTTAAATTATAATGTTGAGGTTGGAGACTCACTTCTCCATGCTATCAATGAAGAGAATGTAGAAGCTGTTGAATTGATACTAAACCATGAAGTAGCCACTAAAGGAGAGGAGGTATGATATTGTGTGGTTAAACTTCAAGCCTTTCTCATTCACCTCAGGAAGTCTAGGGATAACTTTTTGTTGTATTTTAATGGTTTTACTTTCCCTAATCTTTTTAGAGATATGTGTTTTGATTATATAATTTATCATTTTCCATTAACCAGTCAAGAAGACCATCATTTTTTTTTAAATCAGTGTGAACAATGCATTTTTAAATATCTTTTAGTAGAGCTATATTTCAGTAAAGTGATATTGTTTTACTTGATTTTCTGTTTTAGTGAATTAATTATTCACAAAATTGGTCTTGATCCTTTTATATTTGCCTCTAATTAATCCTCTAATCTACACAGAATCTGGTTTCAGATTTTCACCTGAAATTCATTACAGTGTATCTACCATGGTTTTTCATTTCATACTGTCAGCTTTTTAGCATGCGATTGATGGAGGAAAAATTGCCTAAAGCAGAGCTTAGTCACCTCTATTAACCCTGAGACTTTCTGGGCATGCTAGAGCTGTTCTTATCCCATTCTGTCAGTCACCAGTCTCTTCTTCATTCATTCTAATGAATTTTTTGCTCATTTCTCTTTGTAATTTAGGCTAACTCATTTACAACAGGTTGAGCATCCATAATGGTTTGTTTTCATTGGCTGGTTTCCAGTGACCCAATCAAAGGCTGGTATTGGATTAGTCTCATTCAACCAGAAGCTTGACTCTCTGCTTGTTGGAGATTTACAGAGACAGCTGAGCATCTAGTTGAATGAGATTAGTATTGGATGTCAACCTGCTTCTGACTTCTTAAGCATAGCTCTGCATCATTTGCGATTTGAAAAAAAAACACAAAAACAACAGTGTTACTTGTAGTGTGTACTTAAAGATTCTACATGACTTTAATATAATGAATTTTCATTTATATAGATCAAAATATGTTGTAAAGAGGACTGTAGGATTCAGCTCTCAGTTGAACCACAGCCAAAGAAAATGAGGCTTATTTAAACATTTGATTAGGAATGTAAAGTTCCACAGTAATTTAAGAACTGCATTAATGTCAAAGCAATATTTGCCATAAATGCCAAGAACACCTTGATTCTCTGGCAGGTGTATAGCTGTTATGTGCTCCATGGCATTTCCTCCTGATGAAACATTTATTGAATAAAAACCTGATCTTACCTTAGTCTTTGAAGTAAATTAACAAGGAATTTGGTACATATAATGCACTTTGTAGCAATTCTAAAGCAGCCTTTGTTCCAGACACCAGGTCTGAAGTGCTTTGACATTTCCCTGTTTACACAATTTGATTCTCCATTGATGCAAAAGTAAACATCATTAAGGGATGTGAGGAAAAATTCCAATCGCAGGAGCTCAGAATAAGCATACAGTCATTTATACGGTGAACCAGTGTTGTCTAATTATATCTACTGGTTTTATAGGGTTAAGATATATAATTTTGAAAGAGAAGTTCCACACAAAATGAATTTGATGACATTTATTTTTAAGATATTTATATAAATTTGTACAAAATAAGTCTTGATGCACAAGAATCAAACCAAAAGTACTATCTGAACACACAAATAATTCATTGAGAAAGATAGGCTTTAATGTTCATTGGTTACTTTCTGTCATGATAGAAATCGGAGATTCATATTCCAGTTGTTTTCATTGATTATCAATTATTATTTTTTTATCCTGTTCAGTTAGACTATATCAAACTTAAGGTAGAAATCAAAGCATATTGATTTTTGAGACTAAAATATGAACATGCACTATCACTGCTACAGGTCTGATTCAAAGATTGTACTAAATATTCATTGCATAAATGTTTAAAAGATGGATTCCCGTAGCTGTTGTCAGTGGCCCCTTTTTCTTTGATGAATTTAATATAATAAATCTACAATTCTGATAATTTTCAAAGAAGAGTGAATAAAAATATTGCTATGTCAATAGTTTGAATTGTTTATAATTATGAGAAAAATATCGCTGCAAAATGTTCTAGCTAGTACCCTATAACAGTGGAATTTGTACTGGTTTTTGAACCTTTGTTCCATTATGAATAAAGGTGAAGAGAATGGGTGGGTTTTAGTACAACATTATACATTTATAGACAGTGTCTGAGGGTAACATGCATTTTGTTGGACCCAAGAACCAAACTGTTTGCCTTAGGCATTAGGCCAAAGGCAGACAGTTTGGTTCGAGGGCCGATCAGCGAAATGCATTTTACCCGAGAACACAGTCAATAAATGATTTGTTTTACCTTTTATTATTTTTTGACATACATGATTCTTGTGCTGGCTTCTTTGATGTAAATTTCCTTTACCAATACATGTACTGAGGTTATAAAACCTCAGTCAATTCCATCACTGTCGAACACCAACAAATACAAATTCTGATCCCACCCATTGTGTGACATAAGCGATCCAGTATAACCAATATCTCACTCTGCGGTCAAACATGGATTCTTTATGACTGCTCAGTAAAACATTGGAAATGTTAGACTTTTTAGGTCACCTGAGTCACTCAGGTGACCTATTGCTATCCATTTTCGTCCGTCGTCTTGCGTTAACTTTTGAACATTTTCAAGTTCTTCTCCAAAACTGCTTAACCAATTTCAACCAATTTTGGCATATAGCATCTATGGGTGAAGGGGAACAAAATTTGTGAATTTCATGGTCCCTGCCCCCCTGGGGCCAGAGGGGTTGGACTAAAACCACCAAAATTGATGCAATCTTTAAAAATCTTCTTCTTAACTTACTCCTGGACACCAAGCAGTCAAACTGTTGACATGATTGTAATAAGCATTGGGCCCTCTACCAAAATTGTGAAATTCATGGCCCCAGGGTCAGGGGTTCTGGTGCTAGGGTGGGGCTATATAGATTATATAGTGAAAGTGCATTATTTCTTTGAAAATCTTCTTCTCTGCTCCTGGGTATTAGATAAACTAACTAAGTACATAGTTATGTTGAGCAAGACTGCCTCTTCCAGAATTGTGAATTTCATGGCTCCTGGGTCAGGGGTTCTGGTGTTAGGATGGGGCTCTATTGATTATATAGTGAAAATGCATTAATTCTTTGAAAATCTTCTTCTTCTCTGCTCCTGGGTATTAAATAAAGTAACTAAGTACATAGCTATGATGAGCAAGAGTGCCTCTTCCAAAATTATGAATTTCATGGCCCCTGGGTCAGGGGTTCTGGTGTTAGGGCGGGGCTCTATTGATTATATAGTGAAAATGCATTAAATATTTGAAAATCTTCCTCTCTGCTCCTGGGTATTAAATAAAGTAACTAGTATGTAATAGTTATGATGAGCAAGAGTGCCTCTTCCAAAATTGTGAATTTCATAGCCCCTGGGTTAGGGGTTCTGGTGTTAGGGCAGGGCTCTATTGATTATATAGTGAAAATGCATTATTTCTTTGAAAATCTTCTTCTCTGCTCCTGGGTATTAAATAAAGAAACTAAGTACATAGTTATGATGAGCAAAGTGCCTCTTCAGAAATTGTGAATTTCATGGCCCCTGGATCAGGGTTTTGGTGTTAGGGCGGGGCTCCATTGATTATATAGTGAAAATTCTTTGAAAATCTTCTTCTCTGCTTCTGGGTATTATTTAAATAAAGGAAGTGCATGGTTATGATGAGCAAGAATACCTCTTCCAAAATTGTGAAATTCATGTCCCCAGTGTCAGAGGTTCTGGTGAAGGGGGGGGGGGGGGGGGAGACTCTTGATTATATGGTGAAAATTCATAATTTCTTTCAAAATATTTTTTCTACTCCTGGTTATAAAGCAAAGAAACAAGTGTATAGTTATGATGAGCAATTTATTTTTTTATTGCTTAGGATGCTTTTACAAAATTTTTAAAACTTGTGGTTCCAGGGGTTCTGTTGTGTCGGGGGGGGGGGGGGGGGGGGGGCTCTATTAATAATATAGTGAAAATGGGTGAATTCTTTGAAAATCTTCAACTACATGTAATTGCATAGTTATGATGATGAGGGTACCTCTTTTAAATTTGTAAATTTCATGACCCTGGGTCATGGGTTCTGGTGTTAAGGTAGGGCTGTGTTAAATAGTGAAAATGCATTATTTCTTTGAAGATCATCTCTGCTCCTGGGCATATTGGAGGCAATTTCAGAATAAAAAGTTTTAATAATCAAGGGTATTTTTACCAGAATTTTGAACATCTGGACCATTTAGTCAAGTGTTCTGTCCTGGCCAGGGCTCTATTAATTTGTATTCTACTGAGTGAAGTTATTCCCCTTTGCCATTCACCTTTGATAATTAATCACTGTAGGCAATGTATTTGAAAGGTTAAAAGAATAAGAGAATTATGCAAGAACATTTATTGTATACCTGGTAATACAAAAAGTACTTCTTAGTCTAAATGATCAGGTAGACTTGGAAATAATACATGAATAAAAATGAAACAAAAATAACTTATCTTTTTAAATGTTCTTCAAAGGCCAAATGAGGTCAATGTGAGAGGTAATAGACATTTTATTAAAAGTCTGCATGGTAATAGTGATAAATGAAGGACAGATAGATAGATACTAGAACAATTATTTTGTTGATATTAATCGTACTATTTTTCTTGCTTTTTTTTGCAACAAAGCTTCATTTGTCAGTTTATGAATCCTCAAAATTGTGGTACTCAGGTGACCGTTAAGGCCCTTGGGCCTCTTGTTTTAGTAAAGATTTATATAGGAACAATTTTTTAAAGGTATAGCAATTACAAAATGATAGGCATGCTTTAGGATTCTTTCTTAATAATATATATATGGCTATTATTATTTCGCACAGAGTTGCTTTCCAAGAACAACTGACTCCAGTCTGTTGAATGAATGACAGAACATGATGGTCTACTACATGTTTACATTTTTACTACAAACGAGAGGTTTAGGTTAATTTTTGATGCAATATTAATAGATGGAATGCAGGAAAGACCAGTGAAGAAAATTTACAAAGGTTAGGGACTTAATATAGATGCTTAATGCTCACATACAGAAATGAAATTGTTTTCCTGTTTTAAAT